GGATTAGTGCCTACTAAACTAACAGTGCCTCGAATTTAGACTTTTGACCAAATTACTTACTTATTATACGAGTATGTGGCCTTAAAATAAACTAGGGGATCAACATGAAACTTGTTAGAAACTTTCTTGGAAACAAAATTTTCTACAGCCTTATAATAGACATTTACGGATATATAAAACTACAGAATCATCACAAGTGATAAAAAGTGTTACATGCTTTGCACACAATATCAATAGTTTGATTAACGAAATAAACTCAATAAAACCCTGAACAAACAATGTGAACTCATAACAAACATGTTTATTAAATTTACATCTTAAATTATTTTATAAGATTGTTTCCCTCCCGCGAAGATGTTGGACATCTTCCGCGGTCTGAAGAACTTGATCAAAGTCAGCCACATCCAAATCGACAACCCTGTATTTCGTCTGCATTATAGCATAACTGTTATGATATTGATGGCGTTTTCATTGATAGTGACAACTAGACAATATGTAGGAAACCCAATAGATTGCATACACACCAAGGACATTCCTGAGGACGTTCTCAACACGTATTGTTGGATACACTCTACTTATGCGTTGAAGAGCTTATTCCGCAAACGAGTTGGAAGTGAAGTTCCTTATCCTGGTATTGGAACCAGCGAGGGGAAGGAGTCGGACAAGAAGGTTTATAAGTATTACCAGTGGGTTTGCTTCTGTTTATTTTTACAGGTAAACTTTATTAACTATATCATAATTAATACTTATTAGGTTCAATTTTGTTGATTCGATATAACCAAGAAAATGTTATAATTATTCCATGTGTAGAAGCAATACTCATAAACGTAGTAAGCCCTATGTTATTAGCACTGATGTCAATTTTCACGTAAAATGAGAATAAATTAAGCAAATTTTTATGGATAATTTAACTGGAATTATTTTTCTAATAACAAGAATAGTGCATTTCATATTATTTATCAATGACATTTTAGGTCACTAATTACATTTAAAACGGATTTATTAAAATAAAATTTGCGTTAACAAATTTTGCCAATAATTTTAATTTATGTCTCAAGTTCAATAGAAGAAAAAATTATCAAAAGGATTTTGAGAATAAAATATATTTAAAAATCTAATAATGTGATAACTTTTTTTTCTGGGAAGTGCGATCTGTGTATATAAAACAATATATAGAGAAGGTTAACAATAAATATGACAAAGATAACGATATGATTAGATATTGGCAGAAACTAATCGGAGAATCTACTAAAAATAATTTATCAAACTAGTAACTTCAAATAAATGGTCAAAATCCCAAATTTCAATTTTATTGTTATTTGTTCGCTTAGTAATTATTTTGCTTTTACTTTTGCGAATTTCATTTGGGAAACTTTAAAATAATTCTTATCCAAATCAGATCCAAATAATATCATAGATGAATTCACGATAATCGGTTTCTTGTTTATTAATTTAAGTTCAGTAAATTAGATTAATCACTATTGATACTTTGCAGGAAACAATTATTCCTGCAGTAATGTTCTACCATAATTTAAATCCACAATGTTCATTGAAATATATACAAACATATATATATATATATATATATATATATATATATATATATATACGAGGTGTGTTCAAAAAGTACCCGGAATTACTAATAATTAAATTTCGCGGGTCTGGAGTGTCTGATTGTCACTGCCTAAAGTATGATGAAATTTTCAGCTATATTCACTGTTTACTTTGTCTGTGGTAGTCGCTAAGGTTCGACGTGTTTTTCTGAGCTCGGCGATTTTTACAATGGAAGAATTGAAAAGTCAAAGAATTTGTATTAAATTTTGCGTAAAAAATGAAATAAAGTGTTGCAAAGTGCAAAAATTCACCAGATATGGCTCCGTGTGACTTTTTCCTATTCCCAAAGTTGAAGAGACCCATGAAAGGACGGCGGTTTCTCGATTGAAGAAATCGCTGAGAGTGCTCAAGGACATATCAAAAAGTGAATATCAAGGGTGCTTCGAAAATTGGAAAAAACGCTGGCATAAGTGTTTGGGGACTACTTTGAAGGGCATAATCTGGGGGGGACTACTTTGAAGGGGACCACATTAATGTAGACGAATAAATAAATATTTTTTTGAAAAAACGAAAATTCCGGGTAATATATTATATATATATTATTTAGTATATGTTGGTAAATACTCAATTGAAAAAACATGATATTAGATAGTTCAATGAAATCATGCAGAAAATATGATATAATGCTTTTAATATTTTTCCAAAAACTCACGAGCAATAATATTTCTATTCCACATGATACTTATATCTAAATTATTATAATATATTTCGAATATAATAATATATTAAATTTAATATAAATATTTGAAAGATGATATTTAAAATTATATAAACTCAATAGTAACATCATTAAGTTATTTTTATTAGTAGAGTAACGAAATACTAATATTTAATTTAAAATCAATAAAGTAATATTAAGATCAATTTTATTAGTAAACTCCTCCAAAATTATTTTTACTGCCTAACCCCTTTAATCATAATTTGGTCATAAAAATTATATAAACTAGAAAATCAAACTTAAAAAAATATGAGTATTTAGGCTTCCTCTACTTTATTACCGTGTTGAATATTTTCATGTGATACGATACTGACAATAAAATTTCACCAAGTCATCTAACATTATTCTGTCTTTATACTTACAATAAATAGTATTTGAAGATATTCAAAATTTAAATAATATATTATATATTTCATAATTGAAATGTAACCGTTCACGATAATCTTGGTCTGTTTAATTTCGCTACGAAGATTACGCATTGATCTGTTAGGCAAGGAATTTAGTTAATCGACTATTCTTAGAAGCAGCAATGTCGATATTGAAACATGTTTTAGAGTTTGATTGGAATGCAAACTAATCATATTACACCGATATATGGTATAACAACGACATTTATAGTTTACTTACTGATTGTTAGTCTTTGTCATAGAACAGTAGATCATGATATTATGGACTTATAGGAACTATAAACTTAAAATCATCATAATCTTTATTAACAAAAGCGGTAAATAAATTTACAATACCTCATATCATTAGATAACAAAAAAAATGCATAGTAACAGAGAATTGAAAAGTCAGTCAACTACCACTAAAATTAAAATATCTGCTCCCATTGACATTAATATTTAAAAAGTAAACAGTTAAATAATAATAATATAATAAAGAAAATAATAAATATTGAATATTTAAAACAATTCATGTCAAATCATAATCATGTCTAGAAAAAGTTTACTGAGAATGTTTAATTCACTGTAAATAAATAGAAGATGCGCAAGGAATCAAAATATTTAGAATTAAAATTTAAACTAAATTATAAGTACAGTGAACAAAATAAATTAAACAAAATTAATTTTGAAATTTTATAGTTGTAAAATAGTTATCTCTCTGAGGTGAGATAAAAATTCAGTATTAAAGTATTCTTTTAATACCATTCGATAGTAGAGTATAAAGTATTCCAACTTCTATTATTACAATATCTAAAATTACAATCATCATACTCAGAATGAAATTCATTTTTAAAACAATTATCATGTTTGAACTCGAAAAAAGAAAAAACATGTGTTTTTAACATTAGCATAAAATATTATTTCTAGAAAATGCATTTGCGAAACGGGAAATAAGAATATTATTTTCACTATTTTATTTGATTGTTGATCTAATTTCGTTTGAAACAAAATATTCATTCATAAACAAGCTGTAAAAACTTTTATAGATTTGACTTAGTTTTAAATGAATTTTAAAGAATACATATTATTACAACCACGCATATATTATATATATATATATATATATATATATATATGTATATATATATAAAGTACTTTATCTATTTGTAAGTATTTAACTAACGATAGGTTGACCAATAAAACTTTTTTGATAATTAACTTTTTTCATAATTAGCAATTTTACCCATTTACGTTACATTTGCAAATGCACGCTAATTGAACTTTATATATAAAACATAAATAATTAACTTTATGATCAATTAAAAATCCTAATTAATACTCTAAACATACTTACGGTTAGAATATAATAAATATTTGAATTGTTTGCAACAGAAATATACAGATGTAAATATTTGAATTATATTTAGCAGTCTGCTACTATTAATAAAATTGTTACTGAATTATTTCAAATATTTTTGAAATAGAAGATAATAATGAATAAATTTAAGTATACAATACTCACGTCTTATAATCACATAAATATAAAATTGCAATTATATTTGAACTACTCCGAGCATAAGAATCTTTATCACTAATTAATAAACTCGTAATGTGTCATAAATCGATATTGGGTATTTACATTGTAATAAATATCATTTTATGCATTATTGTATCATTTTGTTATGTACGTAAAAATACAATTCACAAGTACGAATCAATATTATTCAATATTTAGACCCAATATTATTTAATGATATCATATATACTTCTATATATGATTTTATCATTCACTAATGTAAATATAATTAGATTTACAAATTATGATTTTGAATCCTGAATCTCTTAGATAGATATGGTATAATAATTTGGCCAAACTTGTAATTGTCTGAATTATATTTAGTATAAATGAAATCGTACATATTAAGTCTTTTTTGCAAGGGAGTGCTTAAATAATAATAATAATTTTTTAATTTTATATCATCATAAGGGCAATAACAAATATTTTTATTGTACCCAAAAATAATGTGTATCTAATAAAAAAAATAGATTACTCCGTTAAAATAGTGAATTTTTAAGAATATTCATTATATTCAAAAAATTAAAAAAATAACTTAACATTGAAACAGTTGGGTAGCAGGTACTATCTTTACTTAAAAATTTTAATAAAAAATATTAAAATTAAAAAACTTTAAGTAGGTACTTTTGATAAAAGCGCATTAGATAATATATAAATTTTAAACACAATTTTACACTCTAACACAGGACAGTTAAAAACTACTAGATCGCTCCACCGGTTATGAAGTTCGATGACATTGATAATTTTAGATTGGTTTTAATGCTAACTTTTAGCTTTAGATTTAAAATACAAATACAATATCTTGCATATGCATTACATATGATAAATAAATAAATAAATCTATCAATAATCTGGGACTGTTATTCGTTTTATTTTTTAATCTATTCATCATAGTAGTAATTTTGATTGATCATCAGGAAACGTAAGAAATCTCTTAAGTCCATTTGTATAATAATTCTTTGATATAAGTATCAAAGAGTTATTGCACATTTAACAGATCTCTTAGGTTTGTTGCACATTAAACGTAGTAACTTGTGGATAACATATGTGCCCACAAAGGATGATGTTTGGTAAATCATGTCTGCACATATAACCATAATACATAATTAGGTTATTTCCTCGTGTCTCCCGATATAGATTTCAATTACGGGAACACATTGCCAGTTGCGAATTTTGATGAATTGTATTGTACACAACTGATCATAGAGTCGTCCATAAATCAGAATTTATAAATATTGAATATTGTATAATTATTTTGAGTGAGGTAACTTATCGTACATTGTATTGAAACATAAGTGTAATCGCATTACATAACAAAATGCTTCAATATTAAAGGGTATAAAATGAAATATGAATTATTAAATTAGTAATATCATGGTGTAGTATATGTAACTTTGCAAATTTCAAACTGTCGTGCATT